AGTTATAAGGATCTTCCTATTGCTTAAATTTGAATAAAGAAAGCAAGACTTTATAGATTTATGAATTATGAAAAGAGATTATTCACTAATCCCATATGGTGATATGAACTTAAATAATATTAAATCAGTTAGCAATGAGAGAACAGTTAACAACGGCATTGATTAAACACGAACATTTACTAAAGAGAGTTGCTATTTCAACTCAAAGATAAAGGAGAAAAGGGAGAGAGGACAAGAAGGAATTTCAATAGAAGGGTTTCATTTTCAGGTTTGTCTGCTCAGAGAAAAGAGTTGATTTAGAGTAGAGATCTATCTCTTGTTTAATATTTATCTTTGTAACTGACATGCATAACCATCCCATAACTTCACTTTGTAGCACTTTTTTGTGTTCATGTTTCTATGTTTAGTTCTTTCAGAATTGATGGATAGTACAAATCAGTTAGCTTAAGCCTTCAGTTGTTCCATCACACTATCTTACAAACCTCCTTCTGGGGTGGAGAGTTGGAGAAAATAAAGACTGAATTTAGACTTACTGAAGGCTAGTCTCTTCTCATAGTCATAGAGGGCACTAAGTCATAAATTGTGTTTATTGTAGGATTTGAATAAGATAAATAAAAATTTTCAAAATGGAAGGTGTTGATTAGTACCTTAATTGTGCCAAAAGGTTAAAGTTCATGCCTGAATATATTCCCAAGTATTTCAGGAAAGAAATATGTATGGGCATTTACTTAGAGCAGTAGTAGACTGATGGAGAAAGACAGAGGAATGTAGACAAAGGATTAAAAGGATATTATCTGCTTTATTTTGTTTGTCTGCTTTTGTTACCTATTTTATAAGGCAAATTAGTTTGAAAATGAAAAAAAGGAAATATAAAAAGACTCACTTATCATCATTTGTTTTTTAATCTGTCTTCTTTAGCATGTTTCTATAGTTACTGAAGAGATTTTCATGTTTCTAGTTTCTTTTTCTCCATTTCCTGCCATTTCTTGATGACTTTGATGCCTGCAAAAGTGACATTTTCAGCATATTTTAACTTTGATTACCTCTTTTCCAAGCATCTTTACCAGCAATCCATTTCATCTCTCTCTCTTCTCTCTTTTTAATAATACAAGAAATACCCGATTTGCTAAAATTTTTACCCATGGGAGAATTAAAGGATAAATTTCCAATTATCATCCCAATCAAAGGATAATTTCCTCTTGTATTTTAGTAACTAAAACCCTTTGAAATATTATTAAAATAAATTCTATTATTTTTATTTAGGATCCCTTTAAAGACAGGGTTTAACTATGTAGCATTGGCTAGTCTAGAGCTTAGTAAGAAAAGGCTGGCCTTGAATCCATGCCAATTTTCCTGCCTCCTCTCTAAAATGCTAGGATTACAAGCATGTGCCACCATATCTGGGTCCTATTTCTGTGTTCTCATGTGTGTGTGTCTTTTTCCTCCCTCCAAACCATTCCATGTATCTGTATCTCCTTCCTCTCTTGTTGTTGCATACATATATATGTGTGTGAGTGTTCCTAAATACATAAATACAAACTACTCAGTCTGTATAGTATTACTTGTATAAGTTTACAGGGCTTCCAGTTTGGTGTTGGGTAACCAGCTTTTGTGATCTTCAATTAGGGAAGACTATTTCTCCAGCTCTCTGTATGCCTTAGTTGGCTGTGTAAGTCTTTGTGTAGAATCTAGGGCTCAAGGTCTTTCGCAATACACTTTAGCAGGTCTGTTGTTCATTTCATGGTTAGGCAGTTAGGTTGGTGAGGTGAGACTTGATTGATCCAGCTTCTGACATTTCTAGGAGATGCAGCTTTACAGTGAACTCCCAGCTTCTCTGGCTCTCAAATCTTTCTGCCCCTTCTTCTACAATGATCCCTGAAGACTAGTTTCCTTCCTTCCTCCTTCCCTCCTTCCTTCCTTCCTTCCTTCCTTCCTTCCTTCCTTCCTTCCTTCCTTCCTTCCTTCCTTCCCTCCCTTCCTTCTTTCCTTCTTTTTTTGTTTGTTTGTTTGTTTCGTTTTGTTTTGTTTTGTTTTGTTTTTGAGACAGGGTATCTCTGTGTAGCCTTGGTTGTCCTGGACTGGACCAGGACAGAACTCACAGAGATCTGCCTGCCTCTGCCTCACTAAGTGTAATCCCTGGGATTATAGGCATGCACCACCATGCCCAGCTAAGACTAGTTTTCTTAAGGTGTTATACGTACCATCTTTCAACTTTCTGATCATTTGACATTTCATTTATTTCCACAATCTTACTTTTTTATTTTTAGAGCAAATATCTTTGTAAAGTATTCCTAGATTCTAAATCTTGTGCTTGCATATATCTTACTTACAATCAGTTGTATACCCTTTCCTGGTCCTTGTTATTTTCAAATATTCAAATTGTTAAATCCATTTCTCATAATAATTGTACTAGAGTCCTTCATAGAAGTGTCTGCTCATCATTCATATTTGTTTTTTTCCAGTTCATTGCCATAGGGCTTATCATACTTTATGGTTTCCACAAATAAGTATCAAAAATCTGAATAAGTAATAGATTTTAAAAGCTCAAATTTTCTATATATATGGTTGAATACTTTTACAGTTCATGTAGTAGAGAAGAACATTTGAAAGCCTTTCCAATATTTAACACTAATTTGATAAAATAACATTTCCCCAAAACGATTTGTTAAAAAAATAAAATGCAGGCAGGCAGGTGGGAAGATTTTATAAATCAGCCTTGTTTACTCTGAAGCAAATTAAATTCTCAATAAAGGAGTATAGATAGTTTGATTTGCAGAGCAGATTTCAAATGTCAGATGAACAGTTCAAATTAGCAATCTAAAAGGTTTTATGACCGAACAAAATTAGAAATAGAGCTAAACCACATAGTATGGTTTCTTTATATATATTAAATGTTTCAAATATTAACTTTTGAGTCTTTTTTTTTTTTTTTTGAAAGGAGAGGAATATTGTTAGTACAGGGTCTTACTTGAGCCAGACTGGCCTGAATTCAGTATCTAGAAATCTTTTGCTATGGCCTCCAAACTATTAATTTTAAAACAGTTTAGATTTAAAATTAAAAAGTCTCATGGTGGGGGAGGAGGGGGAGTTTACAGGGGTATACTCGTGAATAAAGCATAATTAATACAAACTAAAAGAAAAATATTTAATAAAAGAAAAAAGTCTCAGAAGTGGGAGCTGAGCGATGTCTCAGCAGTTAAGAACAATGGCTACTCAGCGTTCTAGTTCCATCATCCACATGGTGGCTCACAACAGTAACTCCAGTTGCAGTGGGTCAATATCCTCTTCTGACCTTTGTAAAGTATTCATGTGCGTCAGGCACACAAGTAGTAAACAGACACACATCAGGCAAAAAGCCCATACACATACAATCAAATAAATTAAAAGACTAAAAGGAAGTGACAGAAATTTTTCTTACTATTACTTTAAGTATAATAACAAGATCTTGGAGGAAACCAAATGCCCTCTTATGTGGAAACTTGTATATCTCTCAAGAAGTTTGGGATGGAAGATGCTCACAGTGAAATACTAGTGATTTTCAAAGAATTCAAAGAGTTATATAATTTGACAGGTGAAATCAGTAGAAAAAGTTGTTAAGTGTAGTAAGCAAATAGTAACATAGCTATCAGGAATGGGGTTAAAGAGAAGCAGAAACAAAACAAGAACAGAACATTAGAGATAAAACACTGGATGGAGAAAGATGCTGAATTACACCTTTAATTTAGATAACTGGACCAATTGTAGCTCGTAGTATAATTGTTCTTAAAGGATCAGAACTTAAGAATCTAACACAGTAAAAGTCTTTTAATAGGAACACGGGCCTCTTATAACTTCAATGCTCATAGCTCATCCTGCCCCTTTTACAGTCTTTGCTCCTCTTACATAGCAGGACAGCATAGGACTCTAAATGATATTAATGATATAAATGACTTTAATGATATTTCTGAGGGCAGTTTTTGTTATTTGTATTTTGATCTTTTCGTTTGAGTTACTTGTAGAGATGTACATTCATCTCCTTAGTGCCCCTAAAATTCTCAGTTTGGGATTCCATTGTTACATCAGTTCAAAATAGTGAATAAATGTGTAAAGCAAACAGTAAAATAGTTTTCAGAACTTTGAAATCAGTCACTGACCTTTAAATAAAAGATGTTAGGATAATATTGTGTTGAAATGTCATAATTACCTCACAGTATGAGGATATGATACACTATTTCTCCTTTCTGATTTGTTTCCTCAACAAAGAGAAATCAAAATAATTTACTAAGGCAATTGATTTGTAACATAGCTTTCATTTACCAATATGAATATCTAGGCTTGAAGTTTTTATTATCTACAGTTAATACAAACATAAATTAGAATGAAGTTTTGTGAGAGGTTCATTTTTGCATACTAACTTTTTTATATTTTAATACTTCTTTCATGTATCAAAAGGATTTTATGTTGCCAGATTGTCTAGCTCATAAGCAAGGCTACAACCCCTTCTCTTCTCTTTTTCGAGACAGGGTTTCTCTGTGTAGCTCTGGGTGTCCTGGACTCACTTTGGAGACCAGACTGGCCTCAAACTCACAGAGATACACCTGCCTCTTCCTCCCAAGTGCTGGAATTAAAGGTGTGTGTCATCACACCTGGCCCCAAGGCTACTTTTTAAAGGTAAATTATTTCTTCGGGAGTTAAAAAACATTTTATAATCAATAGTTATGCCTTTAATCGTAGTAACACCAGTTAATTTTGTATAGACGATTTCCTCCCAAACTTTAGTATGCCATTAAATATGGTTTAGTTCCTTAAAATGAATATTGCTTAATGTCTGTGCCTTAACTAATTTTTGTGATATAATTTGGTGTACAAAGTAGATTTCATAATATATTTTATGACATCGAGGTTTTAATTTTATTTTTATATCCATTTTAATATTGTGATAATGTTTACTGAAATAAGACTGTTCAGCAAGTTTCATATGTGGCTATGTCCTTTATCATGTATTATTTGTTTAAGTGCAGATATAGCCATATTTGTCTTGCACCAGAGACCTTTGTGGCAGGTGAGAGTGCACCAGTAGATGAGCAGCTGACTATGAATTCTCAGCAAAACATGCGTAAATTAGACAACGAAGTCAAATCTGAGGACCTTGAACTGCCAGGGAGGAAATCCAGCAATTTTCAAGTCCTCGATCCTAATCCAGATGAAGGGCCATCTACAAAGTGCAGGTGCGTGTTGATTTCAGTGTTTAATCTAAAAAGTAAGAATTGGACAACACTTCTTCCCTAATACACTTTTCTTCTTTATTTGGTGTCACATAAATTTAATGTGTTAGTCACTTAAAAACGATTTCAGGATTCTGCAAGATCTTCTATTACTTGATATAATATGTCTAGGTAGCTAAGAGAAACAGTACACGATGAGTTTAAAGAAAACAATAAAGTATTATTCTTTTTCAGCATTATTTTCTGTGACTCTTCATTATGGCTATAAGGAAGTTATGAAACTGATAGAAATAAGTGATATCATTCACCAAAGCTCAAACTTGCTCAGAGTTTGCTCAAACTTGCTCAAAGTTTACTCCAAATTGCTCAAAGTTTGCTCAAACTTGCTTGTTTTTGTTTGTTTGTTTGTTTTGTTGTTGTTACTGCTGTTTTTACATCACTCTGTTCTTCATTTGGGGTAATTTGAATACCTTTAGAGTGGCTCTGTATGCTATCTACCCTTTTCATTTCTAATTGTTTTACATTCTGTAGCTTTAAGTCATCCTATGTGAAGAAATTTGAGTCTGTGATACCTGTGCTTATTATCAATGAGATTATGCTACCTTGATAATGAATCATGTGCAGTAAAGCTAACAGATTTTAAAATGACAGCATAATTCTGTTTTCACATTTTTTGGAGTACTATTTTGAAAGGTTTTTGTGGGGTTTCTAGTTTGTTCTCAGTATCTCAGATATATTCATTGATTCCAATGCATAATAAAATAAATGCTTCTCCCTTAGTTTCAAATTATACTAAAGTACAATTGGGGACATATTTTAGGGTATGTAGGCAAGGAATGTGGAGGAATGGATAAACATTTTTTAATTGTATAGAAAAGATTAAACAGTTGAACTTATATTCCTGCCGTGAGATCTGTGGTATATTCAGTATGAGAGCGTGGAAATAGCTCTTCACTCACTGATTGTCGCAGGACTCCATGCCAAAGACCGGCATACCCATCAGTGCTTACATACTTAATACCCTAACACCAGGAAACGATCCAATGTTTGCTCATTTCTCCTTTATACTACCTGTTTACAGGTTGATATTGTTGGCAGCTGTCTTATAGAATATATTTACCATTAACTCTTTGGAAAATAAATATTAATTTTAATATCTTCCATTTAATAATAAATATATGAATGATACTGTTTTTAATGAAATTGGGAAAATGGTTTGTTCCATTTTTAGAAAAGCAAAATCTATAAGTTGATCCCAACCAGAATCTAAAACCTAAACACTCAGTCTCTCTGGGATCACTGTGTACTTTCTACAAACCTAATTTCTCCAGTTGGTAAATTGGTATATCTGTGTGTAAGTATATATATTTATTGTTTTGTAGCCATCATGCTTTAGCTACATATAAGTTTAAACCAAAGTATCTTTACATATTTATTGTTAATAAGAAATTTATGTCCTGTATAAAATTATATATATTATTTAATAGTTCTCTTTATTACAGTATTATGGAATGTGGAAAGAATTATGAATCTGTGATTTCTCATGAAGTTATCCCAGACTTAAGTAAAGAGACATCAGTAGCATGTCTTCAAAAAGAATTGGAAATTCTCAGAACAAGCAATAAAAAGGTATAGAAATGTAGAAGTCTAATTTCTCTAAATAATGTCTGACCTGTTGACCATGTTACTTTCCTCTGTTCTCTATTATTATTCAGTTTCATTTTGTTTTTTAATGCCTCAACAGTAGTTTTGTGTTTCTTTGCCATCCAGGTATTATTCAGTTAAGTGGTTGACCATTAAAATAAGCTTTTTGGTTTCTGTAATACCACCCATTTCCACAAAGCTCTGCTGGTAATTATGCTACTAACAAATATTCAGATTTCACTTGGCTTTAACGTTATGGAACGTGGGGTATATTAACAGCCAGTTTCATGCTACTTTGTTAATTTTTCTCATTTTTCTTAGTTTCTATGCACTCTTTTATGTCAGTTATACAGGCAAGTAAACATCAAAGTTGCAAATGATATATATGCCTTGTATCTTATTACACTATTATACACAGCCAGCTCAATGTACATGTCATGCTTTGTTTCCTCTGGCTCTTCCTCAGCATTCCCCTGGTCTGTAAATAATTTTATTAAATACTCTAAGTGTCTGTGGGTTCTTTTAAAACTCCTATATGTATTTTCTGATTTCAGTATTTTTATTGTTTGCCCTAATCATACTGAAGCATGAATATTGTTTCTGAAAGAAAAATCAGATGACAAAAGTGTAGTAAAGAATGGAAAAAGAAAATAAAAGGAAAGCATTCGGTTTGAGCATGAGATATTTTCTATACTTTTATTCAGCAGTTATTATATGCCATATTTGAATAAGGTGACAGTGCCAATTTAAATGGAATATGATAAGACAGTTTCACAGCCAGATTTGTGTCAGATATTAAGATTGTTATCTTAATTGATTTTGTTTCAAAATATTGGAATTACTAAGAGAAGCATAATCCTGCTGCCCATTATTTTATGATCAATAGAGCCCTTCAGAATTTTTTGCTTTAAGATAAATGAATGAATGATATGGCTTTGGGTATAGGTACTTTTAGCAATAGTGTTGTTTCTGTTTTATGTCTATATGCACATATACAAATCCATGTGGATTAACATGTTTCCATTTTCTATAATTACTTCATTACTTAGAGAGTATATTGCAACCTTAATTTATCCCTCTAGATTCAGTGTATTTAAAAAGTTAAATCTAATACTATATAAGGATTTAAGAACAATAAAATCTTACTTTGGAATTAATTATACATGTTAAGCATTTATCAGATAAGGATTATTTTTTTCTAATGTATTTTAGCTTCAAGAAAAATTGACCAAAGAAGATAAAGAAAAGAGAAAATTAAAGCTTAAGTTGGAACTCCAAGAGAAAGCGGCAGAGGCTGAAATTGCTGAGAGGACAGCAGGTAGTAGATTAGTGTTCTTGTGAAGCTAGAGGGTGATTGTGTGATGTGGACTGGTGATACTAGCTCCTTGCCTTGTTTGCCAAAGGAGGAGAGGTTTTTTTTTCCCTTTTGGCTGCTTAGAAAATAGGTGGCTTTAACATCCTGGTACTGGTATTAGTGAGGGCTTTACCTGTATTCACACTGATTTGGGCATTAAATGCATTGTTAACACCATGTCAATCCAATCACAAAAAGGTTGTTTGTTTTGTTGGAAGGGCCTGAACAAACAAGGGGAAATCATGATTACCAGTGCCTCTGCCTTTCAACCAGCAGTTCAAATACCACTTACTGTTTTAGCTCTCAGAGAGGAAGTATTTCTCCTTTGTATTAAGATAGTCCTATATTCATTACCAGTGGAAACCTACATTTGATTAAAAAAAAAAAAAACTTGTTTCATGCAGTTAATAGATTAAGATCTGATGATGCAGATGATGACAGAGATAATGCTTCCCTGAGATTAAAGTGAAAGGTGCCACATTTTAGTGTTGTACATGACCACTTTTGATTTTGGAAACTATCTTATTCATACTCAGTTCTTTGCAAGGACAAAATGTCAAGACATTCGAATGTTAGAGATTTGGTCCCTGGATTCTGACGTCTGGGCTATGCACCTATGAAGGTCATTGTAGATTCTTTTCTGTCACTATTTTTCTGTGTTAAAAAAAAGTGAATAATTGTAAAATGATACATACGCATTTAGAAGTATTTTAGATTACTTTTTCAACAATATTTAATGAAATCCTTTAATAATTAATTTCAGATTATATATTTTTTTCGAGACAGGCTTTCTCTGTGCAGCCTTGGCTCTCGTGGACTTGCTTTGTAGACCAGGTTGGCCTTGAATTCACAGTGATCTGCCTGTCTCTGCCTCCCTGAATGCTGGGATTAAAAGTGCGCACTACTATGCCCAGCTCAAGTTATAATATTTTATAAACTACTTAACTTGCATACATATGTAAAAGAATTGGTAATTTTAGATTAGAAAGATGACTAATAGAGTTTATCTTCAAAATATTACTGTGGATGATAAATTCTAAATAAATACTAAAGTAATATTCTAATCATGATGGCCATAAATAAATAATCCAGTTGAATACTGGATAACAGAATTTCTAATAATGACAAATAGCCATAAACTTTTTATTTCTTTGTGATTGGGAAATATAAGAATAGATTTTAAAGAAAATTCATAATATATTAAAAGTGAATTAGAACAAGTAAAGGTTTAGAAAAATTGGAAGTTTCCTGAATTAAAAGAAAATTATACTGAGCTACCATGGGCTACATCTGAGCAGGGGTTCTAGGTTATATCCATACATGGTCCTTATTTGGAGATACAATCTCATAAAAGATCCCTGTGTGCAGATATATTTGGTCCTTGCAGAGTTCCTGTCCTCTCCAGGTCATACTAACTCTACCTTATTTCATATTCCCTGCACTGTGCCGAAGGTTTGGTTATGAGTCTCAGTATCTGTATTGATACACTGATAGGTATCTGATAGAGTCTTTCAGATGCCCTCTGTGGTAGGCTCCTGTCTTGTTACTTGTTTTCTGTACTTCCAATGTCCATCCCATTTGTCTTTCTAACTGAGGGTTGATTGTCTTACCCTGGGTCCTCTTTTTTGTTTATCTTCCTTAGGTGTACAGATTTCAGTATGTTTATCCTATCTTATAGGCCTATACCATGTGTCTCTTTCTGCTCCTGGGATACCTCACTCAGGATGATCTTTTCTAGATCCCACCATTTACCTGCAAATTTCATGATTTCCTTGTTTTTAATTGCTAAGTGGTATTCCATTGTGTAAAAATACCACAATTTCTGTATCCATTCCTCCGTTGATGGACAGCTAGGTTGTTTCCAGGTTCTGGCTATTACAAATAAAGCTGCTATAAACATGGTTGAGCAAATGTCCTTGTTGTGTACTTGAGCATCTTTTGGATATACACCTAGGAGTGGTATAGCTGGGTCTTGAGGAAGCAGTATTCCTAATTGTCTGAGAAAGTGCCAGATTGATTTCCAAAGTTGTTGTACAAGTTTACATTCCCAGCAGCAGTGGAGGAGGGTTCCCCTTTCTCCACAACCTCTCCAGCATGTGTTGTCCCTTGAGTTTTTGATCTTAGCCATTCTGATGGGTGTAAGGTGAAATCTCAGGGTCATTTTGATTTGCATCTCTCTGATGGCTAAGGATGTTGAGCATCTCTTTACGTGTTTCTCTGTCATTCTATATTCCTCTACAAAGAATTCTCTGTTTAGCTCCGTACCCCATTTTTTAAATTGGATTTCTTGATTTATTGCTTTTCAACTTCTTTAGTTCTTTATATATTCCAGATATCAGCCCTCTGTCAGATATAGGGTTGGTGAAGTTTTTTTCCCAGTCTGTAGGCTGTTGTTTTGTTCTGATGACAGTGTCTTTTACTTTACAAAAGCTTTTCCGTTTCATGAGATCCCATATATTGATTGTTGCTCTTAGAGCCTGTGCTCTACAAGGACCAAATATATCAGGGCACAGAAGTCTTTTATGAGATTGTATCTCCAACCGCGGACCATGTATGGATATAACCTAGAGTTCCTTCTTGGATGTAGCCCATGGTTGCTCAGTTCCAAGTGCGTGCCCTAGTAAGGGGAACAGGGACTCTTTCTGACATGAACTCAATGGCTGGCCCTTTGTTCCCCCCAACCCCCTGAGAGAGGAGGAGCCCTGGTATGCCACAGAGGAGGACTTTGCAGCCAGGCCTGAAGATACCTGATAAGCTAAGGTCAGATGAAAGGGGAGGAGGTTCTCTGCTATCAGTGGACTTGGAAAGGGGCAGGGAGGAGATGAGGGTGAGAGGGAATGAGGGAGTGGGATACAGCTGGGATACAAAGGTAATAAACTGTAACTAATATTAAAAAATAAAAATTTAATTAAAAATTATATATATATATGCATACACATACTAACTGCTAGGAAAGTACTGTAATAAATGGATTTGTTTTTTAAATATATGTATAGTCAACTTTCAGTATATTATACAGAAAAAAACATATTTGGGGCTATCATGACAGTAATTATTTAATATAACCAGTCTATTTCTTGAAGAGACTTATTGAGCAGTAATGTTTACTATTTAACTTTTGAATAATACAGTTCAGCATGTAGTTCAAATATTTATTTATTGTTACATATTTAAGAATTTTTGATGGAACAATTTGAATAATATACAAAAATGGAAGGCATTTAATTGTTATTAGTCATGTGTGTTTAATTCATAACAATATTGATTAACTACTTATGAAAAGTTTTAATGTCCTATTTCCACCCAACTGATGAAATAACAGGAATATATAGTTTCTCGGAAGTGCAGCAATTGATTAAAGAGATAAAAAGGAAACAGGGAAAATGTTTCACTGATTTGAAACTCCAAAACCTTTTTCCCTGGTGCATTCTTCACATTTTCATTATTTCTTAGAGGATACAAAATTTTAGTAAACTCATATTCTACCTATTATGTATGAAGTGCCTTCCAAAGCAAAATACTAGAAAATGAAAGCAATTACAGCAGCACAGGAATAGAAGGAAAAACAGTGCCGGACTCTGATTGCATGTAAGTGATGCTTCTTTTCTTGTAACACAAAAGAACCAATAATCTATGTAAGTATAGATGTTTGTTTTTTATTACTATGCTTCACATTTTTTTATTTCAAAACGTGTATTTATTGAAATGTAAGAAGAATATACATGTATTTATTTTAATGTTTATAAATGAAATATTAATGTTTACAAAACAGATTCCACTATAAAGTAAATACTGGATGAACACCAAACTAAATGCTGCAAATAGCAAATATAATGCAAAAATATTTGTTGGTTTAAAATGTTAATCTGTGGCAAATATATCTTCCTAGTAGATATTCTCTTGGAATATATAAAATAAAAAAAATTGACAAGAATATTTTATTATGTTAGTTCTGAATATAAGAATATTAACAAATCTATTACTAAATGAATAATGAGATATTCATGCTGTGAGATGTGATACATTAATTAATAACTTTTTGAACAATATTTGATGATATACAGAATCTTTTATATCTTAAAATTAAGTGAAAGCAATAGTGAGAAAATAGGATTTGATTTCATTATAAGAAGAATATTTATGTACATTGTTGAATGAAAGATAATTTTGTTGATCTTTAAATGTAGCTGATTTGGGATCCCTGTGACCCTCGTCAAAAACCATTTGCAGAAGTAGAAGACAAGGAACAGGATAGGAGCCTTCCACAGGGAACCTCTGAAAGACTCTAACCATCAGGGTAGAGAAGGAGATACTGAGACTCATAACCAAACTTGGGGCAGAGTGCAGGAAACCTCATGGAAGAAGAGGGAGATAGAAAGGCCTGGATAGGCAAGAACTGCACAAGGAGACCACCAGAGCCAAAAAACCTGGGCCCAGCGTCACCCAAGGACCATGCATGGAGAGTACCTAGATACCATGCTCAGTTTCCAAGTGGGTTTCCTAGTAAGGGGGCAGGGCCTGTCTCTGACATGAACTCAATGGCCTCCTCTTTAAACAGCTCCTTCTGTTGCCAGGCCACAGAAGAAGATGTTGCAGCCAGCCCTGATGAGACTTGATAGGTTAGGGTCAGATAGAAGGGGAGAAAGACCTCCCCTGTCAGTGCACTACCTAAGGGGCATAGGGAGCCAAGAGGGAGGGAGGTTGGAACTGGGAGGAAATGAAGGGGGCTACAGCGGGGAAACAAAGTGAATAAATTGTAATAAATAAATTAATTAATAAAGAAAGGAAAGAAAGAAACAGATAAAAAATCAAATGTGGAGTCATGTGCCTTTAATACTTAAAAAAAAAAAAAGATCTCTAGAGCAGTAATGGAATCACTTGACAGAGCTTCTGGCCTGTACCTACCCACTTCCACCGGTAATGATTTACTGTGAATACACTTTAAGGGTGGTAACCGGAAAATT